AAAAAATGTATTTAAGTCAAATGTCTGATTTTTCACAACTTTTTTAATTATCAATATTCTCGTTTATTAAATTATGATATACTTTACGATAGAAACATTATAATTTCAAAAAATATAAATTTATCTAGGTGCATATGGTATTTTAAAATGCTCATAAAAAATATTTTTAAAATATTTATATTTTTTTGAAATTGTATAATGTTTCTAACATAAACGATCGTATAATTTACTTAACGAGATTGATATTCAAAAAATTGTATAAAAAATCAGCCATTTGACTTAAATACATTTTTTTACCATATCAAAGTTTCTCAAAATAAGATTTACAAATTGGCTATATTGAATGTTTCGGAATTATTTTTATAAATTTTTAAGTTTTTATAATTGATTTTATAAATAAAATTATAGTTTGTTTATATTTTCTATAATATTTTAATATAAGACTTCAAAACGTGATTTATTACTCACAAGTAAAAATATTAAAAAAATAAATAAAATTTACATGTATTTGTAAAATTAATGAGGGCCGATGATAATTGTATGGGCACCAGTGGCGTGCTGAACAGCTATTTTTTGAGGCAACTGTCTCAGGGAAAATATAGGTGGGTGGGTGATGGGTGCAACTGGGCACTAATTTGTTCGTACATTTTAAATATCATATAAATGTATACAATTTTTTATTAAGTGAAAACCCTAATTGTTAACAATAATAACCTATTGTTATTGTTGTAGAGTGCGTGTCAAATTGTATAGTTTGCCTCAGGTCTGAAAAATGTTCTGCACGCCACTGATGGGCACCACTTATTGCTTTTAGTGTCTGCGCACGTCTATAAAACACCTTACGACGTGTGCTTTGCTGTGTAGAATGTGTATAGATACCTACAAAGTTTTTTATAATAAACCAGAGGTATTCAACTATTCAAGCTTTTTATAATCATCCCACAGCTCTTTTTTGTGCGATGTTCACAGGCGGTTTGACGACTCCCAAATGATTAAGAGACGATCGAAACAACGCGGATACAATATGGCCAATATGCGAGTGATAATAACAMTGACTTTAGTACTAGAAATAAATCTTCAAACGGTCTGGTTTCGTTGTCGCTTCCATATAACAATCGCTTAAATAATTATAAATATATATTTATGTTAATTATATATGGATTGCATTAATGCCGATTTCCGGTGTATTGTATAACACTTAAACACTTTCAATACTTCTGGTGTTAACGATTTCTAAGAATGCCTATAATAAATTATGTCAATTCGTTGAACGACGTTCCAGCAATGTTTTCAAAACTAATGGGAAAATACTTGTCATTATTTTCGATACATTTTTGTACAAAAAATGTTTAATGTTTGAAGAATTCAAAACATTTAAAAAAATTAATTACTTTTTTCCATTTTTTTTTATTGTACTTCTCTATWTAAATCGATTTATAAATATAATATAATGATTATAATGGCGAGGCCACATTAATAAATCGTATTTYAATCATCTTTAATTTCTGATAGGTATAAAATATATAGATGGTGCTATATGTTTTAATTTTCTTTCATTATCTAATAAGTAATAATATATATTTTAATAATTGTTTAAAAAATTATACCCAAGCGAAATCGTTTATTATATTATATATACCTACCTATT